GAGCTATGGGACCTAGAGCCCATGACAGTGCCCCACGAGCTATGAGCCTAGAGCCCATGACAGCATCTCACGCAAGTCTGTTCTATGGGTCTGCGCTGGGAAGACCCAAAGGCGAGTGGTGGAAGCTAAAAGTGTGCCGTGGGTTGGAGGGTCTGTGCTAGCAGGCTGGGGGTCTCTGCTGGAGCCGGGAAGTAATGCTCAGAGTAAGAACCAGCGCCCCCGAAGTGCACCCCAGTCATTTGCAGCAACAGCGAGTCTCTGAGCTCTTCCCAGCACGAGCAGCCAGTTCATAGCAGGAAAGCCAGCATGACAGGAAGAACCAACAGCACCGGTACCTGTCCCGCTCTAGTTCTCCTTTCTATGCTGTCGGCAGCAGCCACGCTGGTGCAGCACCACACTGGGTACCCCAGTGGACCACCAGTAGTCAGTCCATGCCATAGTCAGAGGTTAGTGCTGTGGCCACCGTGGCGAGGTCGAGTTATCCTTGGAGCCTTTTGTTTCTCTAATAAGGTAAGAGGTTATCTACGTAGATTTTTGTACTCCATATGGCATCTAGAAGAATAGCAGGCGACCTCTGTAGCTCTAGTATTTTAGTTCAAAAGGCTTGCTTCTAGGTATGTTCCATCTACATGCTGGACATTGCTTATTAATCCTGCAGTTCCTAGGACCCGGGAGGTGCTAATAAAATATTCAGTGAGCTTAATTTAATTGGAAGGCCAACTCTGCAAAGATTCTCACCATTTTTTACCTTCTTGGGGCTGTTACCAAGTGGTCAGAGCCTCTAAAGATGCCCCGTGAGTGGGCTCTTCTGGGTTGTGTAACATCGTGTGTGTCAATCCCAACCTCAGTCTTCACGATGGCACTTTTGTCTTTTAAAAATCGTTTTTTACTTGAATGGATACTTCCCATCTTTCCTTGTTTGTTTTTATGAAGAGCCTCTAGAGGGGTCACTCTAGGACACTGACTTCAGGCTGTGTCCTTTGCTGGTGTTCTTCCGAAGGAAATGAGCAGTCTGTATCTTACCGTGTTCAGGGACAGAGAGTCCCTTCATGTGCAGTAAAGTGGCACTGTGTTCTGTGCGGTGCGCAGTGCTCTAAGTCGTGTGCAGAGTCCTGTCAGAGTACTTTCCTGCTGGCTCTCTGGCTCTCTCTTTCCTGCGGCTGCTTACTGATACGTGCTTGAGCTCGTGGGCTTTGGAGGCAGTGGTTCGTCACTGTTTACTTTTTTACCTTTATTTAGCCACGAACTGGACATCGATGAAAATGTGGATTCAGACCTTGATGACAGTGGTGCCCTTCTAGGGCTGAAGCATGGCTCAGGACAAAAGTAAGTATTGATAAAAGCTGTTGTCTTTCAGAAGTCCTAACACTGGGGTATTCATAGAGATAATAAGTGATACTGCACTTGGTAGCATTGCGGGGTTAGTAAGAATCGAGGCTGATGCAGCGCCGTACTTTGGATGAGTTCCTACATTCAGTTGCACTTCGTAGCTGCAGCTGTAGCTCACAAAGGTTTTGACTTGGTTACGATCACATCATTGGCCAGACAGTGGATTTAAACCCAGCTTTTCTAACTGCTAAGCTTGATTTTTACATAGTTATATCTACTCTGGTATATATCTAAAGATCATAGCAAACGTGACATGAGGTATTTAAATCTATAATAAACTTTTTCCTTACATCAAAGTAGTAAAACTCAAATAAAAAATAAAAATCTTGGGGCCGGGGCAATAGCTCAGTAGAATAAGTGCTCAAGGGCCTGAGTTCAATCCCCGGTTCTGCAAAAATCAGTCAATCAATCAGTCACTCTTCCTCTCTCTTCCTCTCGTGTCATTCCCACAGAGAGGCGTCTGTAGTTTGCATATATCTTTGCAGATGCACTTGCGTCTCCAAGCATTACATCCCTCTCAGTAAACACAGTAGTGGGGTCGTGCTGTGCATACCCTGCAGCGCACCGTCTCCCTCGGCAGTGTGCTAAACACCTTTCCCTGTTAGTATGCATAGTATTCCCTGTCCTTTCAGAGGAGGCGGCTACTGTGTTTAATTCACTATCCTAATTAGTAACGTCTAGGGTGTTTCCTAAGATCTAAATATACTTCCAGGATTTCTAGGTTGCTATGTATATGTCAGTCTTTCCCTTTCATCACTGTTATGTGGATAGACCCATCAAAGGGTATTTGGAGTGTTTCTACTATTTTGCTATCACATATAAAACTGCTGTGCACATTTGTGTATAAACACCCCAATTTCTTCTGGAGTTAAATGCCTACGCGGGAAGTATAAGGAAATGTGCATTAAATAGAAAAGAGAGGGGAATGGATAGTTACATGAGAACAGGGACAGTATTATCGCATATTCACCTTATATGGCAGAAAATAGAGCAGGTAGGTAAAGCACACTAAGGCATGCTGTGGGGTTGGTTTCTGTAGTCAGGGCCTCCCGATACAGCCCGGACTAGCCTGAAACTGTATTCATCCTGCCCCAGCTTCCCAAGTCCTGGGATTACAGACAGCCCTTTAGCTTTCCTCTCTTTCCCCGTTAGAAAACTTCTTCTCAAATTTTAAAGTATGAATCACTTTTGATCTGGTCACAGATACGGTGGAATTCAAACCTTCAGTCATCGCCAGGTCAGGTATCTAGAGAAGAATATTAAACGGAGGTCAAAATATCTGGACATGCGCAGACAGATAAAGGTGAAAAACAAGCACATCTTCTTTACTGAAGAATCAGAAAAATCAGTCTTCAAGAGAAGCAAGACTCTGAGTAAGGTATATATGAATTTTGTCTTATGCCCTTTCAAGGATCACATCTTGTGAACATGACTTTAAAATTAATTGTATTCAAGAGGGAAACTTGTTTCTACAAGACGTAAGGGTGCCTGCATTTTTGCCGTTTCCTTCCTGAAGTCATATGCTATGTAAACCACATTTAAAAGCAATGAGGCAGTAGGAAAAAGGATGTTTGCAAGCTGAAGGAGTGGTGTTTAGAAAAGCGAGCGAGTCGGTCTGCCTCGCCCCCGTAGTAACAGCGATGCAGGGGATTTCTGCCTGTGCCAGCCTACGCAGCATCCCGATAACCCGAAGTCTGACGCGTCTTGTGCTGGAAGCCTTAATCCAACAGTGCGCTCTTCCCCGTAGCATAAGGCCAGCGGTGGACTTGCCTGTAGCCTGAAGGATTCCCGTCTTAGACTTGCTCTACTGCCATCCAAGTGTTTGGGAAACAGAAGAGATGAGAACATTACCTGGTTTCAGGAGTTAGCCTTCTGTCTTATAGGATAAAAAGCAACTTAAGGGGAAGAAACAAAAAACAAGTAAAGGGATCATTAGATGGGTAGAGAGGGAAGGGGGATGAGAAAAGAAATTATGTGCCTTGCCAACTCCCCCCAGGACCATGGAAGTTACGTACTTTAGCCGTGTCCCAATGACAATTTACTTATACAGGCACCTTCTAAAGAGCAGAACCTTGGTATCAGCCGCATCGCCAGCGGTTCTGTAGGCGGAAAACTGGTCTCAGAGTCTCAGGTGACTTTGTTTTACGCACAGAGTACGTTCTGCTATACTTTGGCATAGTCATAGGTGTTACTAAAAGTCATGACTGGTTTTGCTTTTTATTTCAGATTGGCCAGCTGCTGCTTACATTGTCGTGACCATTTAGTGACCCTGGTTATAGCTCAGAGGGACTTCCCAGCCTGGTCCTTAGGGCTTCTCTTGAGTTGGGTGCAGTAGTCCCCATACATTCATCTGTAGGTGAGAGTAGAGAGTGGCTGCAAGCCAACTGGGACACGTGGCTGCTGCGGAGGGGCCTTAGGAGAGCTGCAGGCAGGAGGCCGTGTCCCTCACGGCCTGTGCTAGGGCAGTGGGGTTGAGCCTGTGGTACGCATGTTTATTTAATTTTCTTTTAAGGTGAAAGATGTTACTATGAGTGTTTTCTAAACTAAAACGGTATTCAGGTTTAAGGGCAGTGCTGGCACTTCACAGTAACTCAGTAAATTTGGAATTACAATCTGGGCGCTCGTCTCTAAAACATTCATCATCGCTGTTGTAGGTTGTCACCTGCTGTGTATCTGCCACTCTCATTCTCATTCACTTACTCTTAGGAAGTCATGAAGGTCTGGTTTGAAGAACGCTTTTGTTATGAAAGACACAAGGAAGTCACTGTCTGCTCCTGGGCCTTGTTAACATTTCAGCAGATACACTTAACGTAGCTTTTGGGCTCATCTGTTGGCTCTGCTGTTCATTAAAAGGCAGCATTCAGCCTTTCCAAGGTAGCGCTGCTTTTACTTTTAAAGACAAATTGGCCCCAAATCGTTTAGGGTTCATCTTTGATACCATGTAACATTTAATATAGACCATTGCAGAAAACTTGTAAATTGAAGTTGAAAACTGAAATTAATGACTTAAGTAGATAACGTTATTCAATTGTGGTGGATATCATTTGTGATGATGATGTCATAGAGCAGTTACATTGTTAGAAGCCTTTATGGAAAGCTACTGGAACAGTCTGGCTTTACTTCTTAATGTTAATTTGTAGCAGGAAGTGTTTAATCTGACATTTTCTTTATGAAAAAATTTTTAATAAGGTCATGGGATGCCCAGATAAATTCCAATTAGCCCGGAATTGCTTACTAGCTTGTGTGATACAGTGTACTTCTCAGAAGAAGTAATTATGACAGCCTGTAAGTCTAGTCACAAGTGGTAGAAGGTGGGGAGGACTCCCGTTTAATTCATTGTGGTGATGTTATCTTAAAATTTCAGGTAGAAAAATTCCTAAAATGGATCAGTGAACCAGTGGGCGAAGAGGCATCACAGGAGTCGTTCTTTCACGACAATACACAAGACAGTTCCACCAGCAGTGACGCAGAAGAGCAAGGCATGTCGGTTACAAAGGCTGATGGCCTGCTGGGAGCTCAGAGTCTGGAGCCCGTGGAGTGTCGGGCCAGCTCTTCGGCCAGTGAGCCTGAGACAGAAAAGAAGGAACAGGACAACCCGGTAGCCGCTGTTCCAGAGACACAGGATTCTGTTGGCCAGGAAACACCAGGCTTTGCGCAGGTAGACACTAAAGGTAAGATTAAATCCACTTGCAGGTCTGGTGGGCTTCTACTGAGCTATCTCACCGGCCCCTTCTAGTGGATTTCTGAGTGCGCTTTCTCTTGCATTGGTATTTTCTTGGTTCTCACTGTTGAATCAATCACCTGTACCTTAGAATTTGGTGCCATCTTATCATAAGTGGGGAGAAGGCCGAGTGAGTGTAGCCATGCTCACTGGCCGTGACTTGCCACCTCGGTGCTCTCCTGAGCTCGGCACGGCACGGTGCAGTGGGCACGAAGGTCATCTGAGAACTGACGTGGCACCTGGGCTCTGCTGCCACTCCGCTCCGCGGCCCGGGCAGCCCAGCCCTGCACATCAGGTGTAACGTTGGCTTCGTCTTCATGGGTACTTCATGAATTTGTTTTGTTGATGGTGGTGGTTTGGTTTGTTTTCACAATACATTGATTTGGGCACTAATAAATGAAAAATAATTTCATTTTATGTTCTCTTATACTATTTGAATTTTTTGTACAAAAATTCCTTTCTAATTCCAAATAATAATTGTATCCAGTGGAACAGGGAAGCACTCTTTTTAAATGTTTTCATTTGCTGTTATAGTAAGTAAGGTTTTTGGCGAACTATTTCAGTCTTGTCCTTGTGCAACAACTATACCTGTTGTGATCTTTCATCATTTCTTTCTTAATATTCTCTTGAAGAAAACCTCTTGTTTGAGTCTAGTTTGTCTTCTTTCTTTGGAAATGGGTACCTATAGTCTTCACAGCACGTTTCTTCCCCTTAACACCATAGTTTGTTTTCTTAATCAGTGTTATGACAACTAATGTTCACATGAATAACACTGAAAGACTTCTGAAATGTTTTCTGGTACCTTAGAATAGCCCAATGAGTAGGAGACTTATTCTCCAATCTATAGGTACAGAAGGTAGCTCAGAGAAACTAAAAAGTGGCCCAAAAAGTAGCATAGTTAGAACTCAGCACGAGCTCTCCGAGTCCTAAACCCTGTGCTTCCACAGGCAACAGTAACCTCGCTGGAAGTCATTTTTATTTGGATGGTGTAGATTTTTCAAAATAATCTGAGGAATTCTGGCATGTAGTACTTGGGTTACTGAACATTAGGTCACATACGAGACAGTCTTATACAACGGAGAATTGTCATTGTCACCCAAAATTAGTATCATTGCCTCTGTTGAGAAACTGCACAGTTTGCTCTGATGGCTTTGCTATTTGCCGTGACCTGGTAACTACATAGTGCATAGCCTGTCCTTGAGGCCTGTGTTCTTTGTCAACTGCGATGTCTTTTTTTTTTCATCCTTACATGTGACAGCACTTCATCTTTCTCTGTTGCTAAATCAGCTTGAAACTGAAGTCACATAATCAAAATCAGTGGTCATTTATCTAAGAAAAGGATCTTATCCAGTCTATGAATGATTGAGATCCTTTTCTGCAGAATGGAATTTGTGACTTATGTTTCCATTTTTTCCATCCCGTATGTCTTGTAGATTGACACGTTCCTGCTGGCTTGGCCCACCAGGGGCACATGCACACTGTTGAACTGTAGCAGCTTGATCTAATCACTTTATTGGTCTTTTTATTTTTTTTTTTATTTATTTATTTTTTTTTCAACATAACAGCATGGCTTTACTTTTTTTTTTTTTTTTTTCATTGAGCCAATAGATAACAGGGATTACATTGGTGATAATAATGAAAGTCATTCTGCATAATAATTTCTTCTCTCTTGAGTCCTTCACACCAGCCATGAATGTGTTCAAAGGTAAGTGCAGGTTAATATATTTTTCTTTATTCTTTGTATTTTCTTCTTCTTGTTGTTCTTGTTCCTCTTCCTCCTCCTCCTCCTCCTGGTTGTCGTCGTCGTCGTCGTTGTCCTCCTCCTCCTTCTCTTCTTTTTTTTTTTTTCAAAGTTTTATTGATAAACAGCAATGAGACAGTTTCAAATCAAATCGGAAGTCCAGTTTCAACAAATAATACACTGCATATATTCTTCTTAGTGGTTAACTGCTGTACAAGATGCAGACTTGTGATCCCTATTTAGTTGGTTGCTTCTGATCTCATTCGTGGAGTTCTGATCATTTTGGTCCCTCTTTAGAACATCTTTCAGTAGCCTGTGTAAGGTTGGCTTTGTCATCGCGAAATTTTTTAGCTGTTCTTTGTCATGGAAGTATTTCACTTCTCCATCAAACT